TATTTAAACACCCCCTGCCAGGTTACTACTTTTATCCCATTCTGAAGAAGCCACTTATGGTGAAACGCGTTTATGGTTATTAATTCTGTATTTTACTGTGTATTTTAGATCAATAAAAGTGTTTTGGCTACTTTATTGTACCAATCCTCTTTTTATTGCACTCTTTATGCACTTTAAACAACTTTTTTTACCTATTCCTGGCATTTTAACCTTTCCTGGTTACTTTTACTTCCACTGGCAATTTTAAAGTTCCAGTACTCCAAGAAATCCTAGGTGGGGATCATACCACCGGCGCTTATCCATAGAGCAGTACCTCTGCTCTATCTTTGTGAGTATTATTTTATTTTCTCTACTACTCTCTTAACCTGTCACAATTGAGAGCACTATTGCTGCTTTTTATTCTTCTATATTGGAGCCTTGGATCACCAGACGGTGCTGACGGACGTATCGCCGCTACATATCCTATAAGCAGGGATTATACCGCTGTACGCTATCCACACCAGAGCTGGCCATAGCTCCCTGTTAATTAGTAGCAAGCATTCGTATGGGGAATGCTTGTAATGTCCCAAACTGAATATTAATCCACAGTCTTCATATGTTAGTGAAACTGTCCTTTTTGTTACATATGGCATACCATTTGCAAAAGTAGACAACCCAAGGTATTGCAAATGGGGTATGCCCAGTCTTTTTTAGTTGCCACTTGGTCACAAACACTGGCCAAAGTTAGTGTTAATATTTGAAAATGCAAAAAACTAATTTGAACGCCAATTTTGGCCAGTGTTTGTGACTAAGTGGCTACTAAAAAAGACTGAACATACCTCATTTGCAATACCCTGGGATGTCTACTATTGCAAATGGTATGCCATCGTGGGGGTAATTTTAATTCCTGGGCTACCGTACGGTCTCAAATGCATCATAACCAAACTGGCGAATTCTAATGTGAAAAAACTGAAATGCATGCCTTATATTTGACTCTGTAACTTTTGAAAACAACATAAAACCTGTACATGAGGGATACTGTTATACTCGGGAGACTTTGCTGAACACAAATATTGGTTTTTCAAAACAGTAAAACGTATTACAACAATTATATTGTCAGTGTAAGTGCCATTTGTGTGTGACAAAATGCAAAAAATGTCACTGTCACTGACGATATCGTCGTTGTAATACATTTTACTCTTTTGAAACACTAATATTTGTGTTCAGCGAAGTCTTCCGAGTAAAACAGTACCCCCCATGTACAGGTTTTATGTTGTCTTGGAAAGTTACAGGGTTAAATATAGTGCTGGCAAATTAAATTCCCTGAACTTTCAGCCTTGGTTGTCAGGCAGGCCCTGCAAATTGTAATTAATAAAATTATTACATAAATATATATGTAGAATTATTATATAAACGTGTGTGTGTGTGTATATATATATATATATATATATATATATATATGTATATAATTTTTTCAAATTATTTTTATTTATATATAGGTATATATATATAGTGATATATGTATATACTTATGTATATATATATATATATATATATATATATATTATTTCCTTCTACATGTATTTTGATATCTATATATATATTAATTTTAAAATACAGTTAGAACGAAATTACACATGTATATATATTTTTTTTTCATTATTTTTTTTATTTTTTTATGTATTTACACATTTATTTTTTATTATATATAAATATATATAATGAAAATTATATATATATATATATATATATATATATGTATATTTAATCAATATCATTGTACGTGTATTTTGATATTAATATATATATATATATATATATATATATATAATTATGTATATATTAATATTAAAATACACCTAGACAGTGTATGTGTATGTGTGTATATGTGTAAATAATATATGATCTAAGTATATATTATTTATTTTTACAATGTTTTAACAGTTTTTATTTTATTTTCAGGCAGCAGGGGGAGTACCTATCATTACCGGCACTCCCCCTGCTGGCAATGCCTTGGACGGTAGGCAATCAGAGATAGGCAACCTACGGCACTCCAGATGTATGGACTACATCTCCCATAATGCTTTTACAGCCATAGTGCTGGTAAAAGCATCAGGCAAGATGCAGAATACAACATATGGAGTGCGTGTGTGTGTATTTATGTGTATGTGTGTATATATATGCTCTAAGTATATATTATTTAATTTTACACTGTTTTAACATTATTTTTTTTTCAGACAGCAGGGGGTACCTGTCATTACAGGCACTCCCCCTGCTGGCAATGCCTTGGACGGCTATGCCGTCCATGTGATCGCGAGGTCCTCGCAAGGTTAAATCATTGGCTGAGATCAATCAGGTGATGTTATCAGCCAATGAGCTAGTCTTGAATTGCTAGATGTAGCTCAGGAGAGGTGATAAATTTCCAGTTAAAGTAGTAGAGGGGATAGCAGTGTCTGGCAAGCTTTCAAGCTTGAAAAAGACCTGGTTGACGTTGAAACGTTGCTTTCTTTTGCTCCAATAAACCTGCTCACCTTGAGTGCCAGGACCATCATTTATCTTGTAGTACTATACAGTGAGGTTTGGCCGACCTCAGGCCCAATTGCACCCTGGGAACCAGGAGAGTTCAGTATCCTTTATTTTACTGACATAGATTGAGTTACAGGCAGTCCTCTTGTCATTATGCTCCTTGTCACTGTGTGCTTGCTTGGGCAATATGGGATACACGTGGGCCAGTGTGCTGGCAGTGAAGCCAGCATGTTAGTGTCAGAATGGGGATTTCCATGCTTAGGGACCCAAAGCAGGGCCAATCATTGAACATGAATCACTCAGCCAAACCCCATATACAATCACACTTAGCCAGCCACTCACAGTCCACCATCTCCACACATACATATCACACTTACCCAACCAACACAATCAGATGACCGTGCTCCACACAGAATCACACTCAGCCAACCCCCCACATAATCACACTAAGTCCCTACACACATCCTACTCAGGTGTACTGCTTATAGGGTAGCAAGGAGGGCAGTAAGGGGGGCCCTTCTTTGTTGCTTGCACTGAGGTCCTGTGATTCCTTGTCACCACCACCCCCCATCCCGCAGGCACAGTTCCATTATTGTCTTGTATCCTCAAATTTTCTTTTTTAAATTAGGTTTCTCTGTGCTGACAATTACATGGTTTTGTTATTTCATGACGAAAAGTCATGATTTTATGAAAGACACGGAGGCGAGTATTGCTTAACCCTTTCTTTACTGTCCAATAGCAGCAAAGAACACAAGTAGAAAAAATATAACAAATACAATGAGACACCAGCCAATCCCCATCCAAGTCCCAGTATAACAGCAAGAACCACCTCTCAAGCTTTCTCTTTCTTTGGATAATGCGACATCACGAGGAGACACAGAAAACAGGAACCAAAAGACGATCCAAACAGTCAGAAAACATGGTAACAAAATCCCATGAATAGCAGTCCAGGGAACATCACAACAGGAAACCAACTTGAGCCTGCAGTGGAAACCAGTCAACTTATGCGAAATCCACCGGGAAGAAGTGAGGACCCTCAAGCAGCACCGAATCAACCTGTGAAAACACAAAAAACAGTAGCCCTACGGTTAAATTGATACTAGAAACCAAAGTGCGCATGCCAAGACACATCATATCCATAGAAAGAAGGGCACAGCACCCACAGAGCAAAAAAATCTCATGGCAAGAACATAAAACATAACCAGGCCACATGTGAACATAAATGGTTAAATAAACACAGTGCACACCATAAATACCTACCACACCCTGGAATCCTTATATGAGAGAGAAGAGTCAGCAGGGAGGTAGAATCAAGACAAACACAGAAGGGTGGGACAATACTTGCCTCCGTGTCTTTCATAAAATCATGACTTTTAGTCATGAAATAGCAAAATCATATAATTTTATTAAGACACGGAGGCTCATATTGCAAATTTAAAGCTGACCAACAACCGATGAAAAAACATGAGGGACCGGTTAAAAACTAAAATTTGCAGATTCACGTGGATTCACGGGACAAGTCCGCCATCCTCATCAAGTCTTCTAGCCGCGCCCCCGAAACCACCATGGAATGGGCGCTAAAAATGGACGTATCCACAACAGCCTGCGACATCACCCATTTCACCCAGCGAGCCAAGATAGTACTAGACACAGGGGAAAATGGTTGATGAACCAAGAGAAAAAGTTGTGGAGACGATACTGAACAATGTGTACTCGTCCGAAGCTCATACTCACGCAAACAAGTCACAGGACACAACGCCGGAGCAGCTGGAAAACTCGGATACGATACCGACTGAATAGCCGTCTTAGTGCACCTGGAGATGTTAAATGTCACCCTGTCTAGAGTGAAAGACCATGAATCGTAGTGCAGGCATGAACATCTGATACAAAAAATACAGAAAAAGGGCTGCGCTTAGATAAAAAGTATTAAAAGTCCAGATAGAATAAATAAATAAAGGAGAGAAGGTCTTATCTTGCAATGTCCGTAGTGCTTAGTCCGAAACAATAATCTTGCTTTCTGTCTTTCTTGTGGACCGTCTCGTATGTAAGAGATAAAAACAAATACAGAACCACAATGGTGCAGTATATCTTAATGTGAAAGGAATAAAATATAAAGCTTGATTGCAAACTCACATATCCAAGAGCTAGAACCTACTCTGGTATAGAAGGCGTACAGCGGTTTAGATCCCCGCTTATGGGATATGGAATGGTTATCCTTCACGTATTTCCTCCTTCCGTGGTGTAAGAAATGCTCAAATAAAAAGAGACAGCCAATAGTGTTCTCTGCGTAAAATTTAAAATCAAATATAAAATAAAAATGGATACTCACAAGACAGGAGCAGGTCAACTGCTCCTGGTATTTCGCACTGGTGGAATAATCCCCACCTAGGATTGCTTGGAGTCAGCGGATGATGCCAGGTAATAATAATAATTATATGTGTAATAAAAGATAAGTAGTACAATAAAAGATTATAAAATATACTTTAATTGTAACATTACACAATATAAAAAACCATAAACGCGTTTCGCCAATCGGCGTTATCAATATGGGCTATCAATAACGCCGATTGGCGAAACGCGTTTATGGTTTTTTTATATTGTGTAATGTTACAATTAAAGTATATTTTATAATAAACGCGTTTCGCCAATCGGCGTTATCAATATGGGCTTTACCCATATTGATAACGCCGATTGGCGAAACGCGTTTATGGTTTTTTATATTGTGTAATGTTACAATTAAAGTATATTTTATAATCTTTTATTGTACTACTTATCTTTTATTACACATATAATTATTATTATTACCTGGCATCATCAGCTGGACTCCAAGCAATCCTAGGTGGGGATTATTCCACCAGTGCGAAATACCAGGAGCAGTTGACCTGCTCCTGTCTTGTGAGTATCCATTTTTATTTTATATTTGATTTTAAATTTTACGCAGAGAACACTATTGGCTGTCTCTTTTTATTTGAGCATTTCTTACACCACGGAAGGAGGAAATACGTGAAGGATAACCATTCCATATCCCATAAGCGGGGATCTAAACCGCTGTACGCCTTCTATACCAGAGCAGGTTCTAGCTCTTGGATATGTGAGTTTGCAATCAAGCTTTATATTTTATTCCTTTCACATTAAGATATACTGCACCATTGTGGTTCTGTATTGGTTTTTATCTCTTACATACGAGACGGTCCACAAGAAAGACAGAAAGCAAGATTATTGTTTCGGACTAAGCACTACGGACATTGCAAGATAAGACCTTCTCTCCTTCATTTATTTATTCTATCTGGACTTTTAATACTTTTTATCTAAGCGCAGCCCTTTTTCTGTATTTTTTGTGTTTTATCCTAAAGGGTTTTTGAGGGATTCCCTTTTAGGGTTGCTGCTTATTTGTGTTATTTAGCGCTTACTCATTGTTTTGGTTTTATGAACATCTGATACCCACTTGCCTTAAATGAGGCAAAAGAGGGAGACCAATTTGGCTGACAATTGTCGTAAGCAGAGATCTGAGTTAGGAGGCCAGGAACTAAAGAGAGACAAAACGCAGGAGACATCCCAAGTAGAAGAGTACCAAGGCCTAAGAGGGCATGACAGTCATGAGCCACAAAGCAACAGGCACACCAAAGGGTGTTGGCCTGAGGGGCAACTGTCAAAACCCTGATGAGCCGAGGAAATGGACGATCTGTACAAGTTAATCTGCGATGCGCACGATCAGCCTCGAATAACGAGGTGAGGAATTGAAGGATCGCTGTTACAGGTGCTGAAACGGGATCCATGTTCCGAGGCAGGCACCAGTCATCCCAAGTTCTCCAAGCGGTCCCATATGATTGTCTAGTACCGGGAACCCATGCGTCCGCCAGGAGGCATCGAGTTGCATCCAAAACCCCCTGGATGTCCCAAGGACCCCGGAAACCCTCCATGCGAGCAGCAGCAGCGACCCGTCCAGCAGAAGAGGGTGTCACCAGCCCGATGGATCCAGAAGAAGGTCCGGGTAAAATGGCAACAGCCTGGGCACATGCACTGCCAGTTCCAGGAGCTGTGAGAACCAGAATTGAGTTCCCCAAAATGGGGTCAGCAGGATCAGTTTGGTCAGTTGGCAGCGAACTTGGAGCAGGACCAGATCGATCATGGCAAATGGAGGGAAGGCATAAGGGAGTGAGCCGGTACAGTCTTGCAGGAAGGCGTCCACTGCCTCCGCAGCCGGATCCTGGAGCTAGCTGTGGAACTGTGGCAATTGGGCATTGAGCCAGGATCTGAAGAGTTTGATGGCTAGAGGACCCCAGAGAGATGAGATAACGGAGAACACCCCTATGTCCAAGCTCCAGTCGCTGCTGTCCGACAGATAGCATGAACTCCAGTCCATATAATTGTTGTGGAGCCCCAGGAGGTATTCTGCCTGGACCACCAGATCCCTGGCCAAGCAATATGTCCAAAAGTCCTTTGCCGACTGCATGCCGCCCATATGATTGGCATAACGGACCGCCGAGACATTGTCCATGCACAGCCAGATGCATGTGCTGGCAGTCCCGTTTCTCAAAACTCTGGATTGCAAAGGAACCGTCCAGGAGCTCCAGAGTGTTGATGTGAAGTCAGGTCCAACGTCCTCCAGTAGTCACACCGTTGCAGTGGGCACCCCAACTGTGGAGACTTGCATCTGAATCCACTGTGAACTCCGGTTGGGAGCCTTGCGAGAGGTTGTGGATCCACCAGGTCAATTTCTCTCGTGTCTCTGTGTCCAGAGAGACCATGTCCACATAGGATGCTCTGTTGCGGAGATGTGTAATTTTCAGGCGCTGGAGGGCATGGTAATGGAGAAGCGCTGGGAACACCCCTTGGATTGATGATGCCAGCAGGCCAATGAGACAGGCAGGAGTTCTCCCAGTTGAGGAGGAGACCCAGGCAAGAGAGGAGGTCTATCATCCATTGCAGGTGCCGCAGGAGGACGGACAGATCCTGGCGTTGAGGGGACGAAGATTGATAACAGGGCGCATCTGTCCGGCCTTCTTTTCCACCAGGAAAATGTTGCTGAGGACCCCGGAAAGGGATGTAGGGGCTAGTTCGATCCCCTCTTTCTAGTGAAGGGCCGACAATTCCACGTCTATCAAGACGCGGTCGCGTACTGAGAACGAGATTGGGCGAGGAGGGGGGATGTGACAAGGAGTGTCGACCAATTCTATGTGGAAACCCCAAATGGTGGCCAGAACCCAAGCATCTGAGGTGATGGCTGACCAAGTGGGGAAAAATTGACAGAGTCTGCCCCCTACACAAACATGGGAAGAAACATGAGGTAGATGTAAGCTTACTGTAAGGGCGTCTGGAACCGGAGTTGCCTCTGAAGCCTCTGGTCTTCCACGAGACGGGAAGAAGGGGGACCAGTTTCTCGCCTCCTGATAGGGGGGGCGCTGTGCATAGGAGCCTCGTCCCGAGCCACCGGAGTTGTACTTGGAACGGCGGGAGAGACAACCCCTGAATCTGCCAGCCCTGGTAGAGACCAGCCCTTGAAATACCCTCTTCATGGAGGATTGGGCTTTATCCAGGCTGTAAACGCCCCAACAAAATGCCCCAGGTCCTTTATAAAGGAGTCTCCAAACAACAGGCCCTGGGCGTCCTGAGCGAGATTGGCAAATTTCGGCTCTATTTTAAAGAGAATGGCTTTACACCGCTCTATGGACAGGGAGGTGTTAACACTGCCCGCAATGCAGATTGCTCTCTGTACCCAGCCATGGAGTTCTTCCAGGTCAGCCTGCCTGTTCTCAGCTCTGGCGTCTTCTGCCAAGTCGAACAATTTTGCCAAGGGACCAAATATGTCCAAATGTTTATCTTTGCACGATTTAAGTGCTGAGTCCAGACCCTTGCGAGGTTCCACCCCAATTTAGAGAGGAATTGGGTAAATTTGGGGTCAACGACTGGGATCTCACAGACTTTATTAGGCACCAAAGACCTTGGGCATTTAGCCCAGAGCGTACTCCGTGCCACCTTGCTGAGGGGGCCATACCCAGTATTCTAGGTAGCGTGTCAAATGGTCTGCTGGAAGCCATTTAGCCGACCTTGGGTAATGGAGATGATCCGGGACGGATCCAGGAGAGTGGAGCCCGCAGTAGTGGGGGAGTCACTTTGAGAGCCACTCATAGTCACCCCCGATTGTGCGGGGTTCAAAAGGTCAATGCCCTGCTCACATAGATCAGTTTCAGAGTCACTCAGTGACTCAGCACCAGCCTCCTCACTAGACAAAATTTCTGAGTCAGAGTCACTCTCAGGTTGTGCTCTAGCACATTTCCATTGCCGTGCCCGTTCTGCCTGGTGCGGAAAGGCTCTTTTGCGTGATACAGGCACACTATCGTGGGTGACCTCAGGTTCATCAGTCATTTTGGTTCTGGAGGCGGAGGGAGTTAAGTGCCTGGATTTGGCAGTAGCCTTCTTGGGTGCATCCCCTGAAAGGTCTGAACCAGGCGAGTCGGTGGGCCAGAACTTTCTGCAACCAGTGGGTGCGAGAGTAAAGCCTGGGAGATGGTCTGGGAGAGGGCAGAGGACATAGAGACCATAGCTGCCATAATAGCATCAGTGACTGAGCTGTAGCGCCAGGGACTGAGACTCATCAGGCAGAGACATAGGGCCAACCACTGATAAAGGGGAGCTAGAAATTGAAGAGGGGTTCCCCAAGCCTTGAGACATATCCATCTCACCAGGGGAAGGGGGGCAGGCAGTCACCTTAGACTTGGGCAGATTGGATGCTGTGAGACCCACAAAATAAAAACATAGTGCAATACTAGACCCTGAACAAGCTGAAGAAAAGATAATAATAACAGTACAGGCTAGTAGGAGTTAACCACCCCAGACTAGTTACCCCAGAGAGGGAGAGATAGGGGAGCTCACCAGGGCCCAGACCGGCAGACAGGGATAGACACGAGGTAAAATAGAGCCAGAAGGACGGAAGATCAGAAAAGACCAGTCTTGCGAGATTTGCTGTAAAAGAAATCCCATGAACGCGTCCAATTCGCGAACTGAAAGTTCGGCAAAACAAGACTAATTCACAGAAACAAACTAACGAACGGTCAGTACACTGCAAAACACCCGAACAAAAACCATCCACAGCAAAACAGTTGAACGTGGCAAAACAGTCGAACGGTACCATATGCCGGTCAAACTAACGAACGGCACAGATTCGTGATGAGTTTAGCCGAAAGGGCTTGACTCAGACACAAAAATAGCCAAACAGTAGTGAGGAAACAGGCACAAATGGGCACCAGACAGTCAGGGAGGAGGGGGGAGACCAAAAAGCAGAAAAATAAGGAAAATTAAGAAGAAAATAAAGGATATGAAGATAAGAGCAATAAAGCAAAGCTCAAGAGAGAGGAGAAATACATGTAAGAATTCCCCAAAGGAAGGTCTGAAACCCTGGGCTCAAAAGGTAATATCACTTAACTTTAATATCATACAAAACAGAATTTATAAACAGGAAAAAAAAACAGTTTTTACTATAAGATAATAATAAGTAAGAAATAATTAAATAATAAGTACTCAACACAGATAAAGGTAATGAGAAAAAACAGTTATTGTTTTACTTTTTTTAGGAGCAGCAAAGAAAGAGGAAACTTGAAAGGCGGT